TAGGTTTTGGATTGGAGTCTCGACACACTATCCTGTTTCAGGTGTTGTAATTTTCTACAGTTTCTCCAGAGAAATATTGTGCTGGCAGACCAACCTTAATATAATCAATAACTGCATTTTTCTTCATCATCGTCATCACAATTTCCTGGAAGCAGAATAATAGTTGTGTGTTCTCTGCAGTGTGTCAGAACACGACTGTGCCGTGAAGGTAATCTTAGGTTAGGAAAATACATGGTGGTACCTGTATGTTTAAGGTAGTAGTTTCTGTTAATTAATTAAACTTCCAAAATTGTAATAATTATTAAATTTAAATGATATAATTCCACGTGTCACTGCCTCACAAGGTGTGCGATAGCTCGGTCCTGAGTTGTGGGTTTTATCTCTAACCTAGCATTTGACTAGTCACGGAATAAAGGTAATTTATCCGTCCATTGTATAAAGTCTTCTCTTCATTTTCAATACTAACAATTCGAAGAAACTCCTCTCCAATAATGGATCTTCTTCCCATTTGACAACCGAATTAAACAATATGACACAGATGAAATGTTTTACTTTATTTCGTGACGTAATCTGTTAATATTTCTTTTGTTATTTTCCCAATTCCTTAAGAGTAGTACTTTGAAAGGCCACGTATTTGGCTCCGGTTATATATCGTCGAATGATAAAGTTAATAAATAATTAATTGGAAAGGATATAGAATGAAGTGGTCGTGACCTAGTTTAAGATTTTTTTTTTACTTTGTCTGTAGGGACTGAGAAAACCACGACAAAGCGTCGCTACGTTCGATGACTGAAGACTGAAGCAGGCACATTGTGCGTGGTGTACCCTTCCTCTGACGCGGAAATGTGAGTAGAAAGTAGGTTCAGATTTGTCCACTGAGGTGACAGATTTTTAAGTTTTCTGCTGTAGGATACTAACAGATGCTTGTGTAACGGAACACCGCGTTACAGCGCGGTTACTGCTGAGTGGTAATACGACGAGAAATGTTGATGAGTGCAGTAGACCGAATAATATGTAGAAATGTAAACAATGGTGATCAGCAGGAGTGTTAACTAACTTCAGGAAAGTCCTCCATTGGACTGTAATCTGAGACAGTTGAAACCAGCCCCAGACCAAAAGCACGAGTCCCCCGAGATACACACCAGTACGTAGCAGTGTTGTCCGGTGACGTAGGACGACCTGATGCCCAGATGCCGGGCTACTGCTGCACGACTCCAACTGGCCGTAAAAGCTCGCCACGGCTTGTCCAATCGTTCGAAGGTAAAATCGCGGAAATAGGCCTGCAGGAGTTGTCTCAGGTTGTCGCAAAATTCCATGTGGAAGTCTCCGTGAAACACGGGACTCGCGGAGTTCGTCATTTCGGTACTGGCCTGTAGGGGCGTCTGCAGTGACGTGTTCCTACGAGGAAAATGCATACGTTAGAACTTGACAGGGTATTGTGGATCTGTCGTTGAAAGGTGTCATGTTTCAATCCCGGTGTTGAATTCAGCTATCCCGAGTTTTCTGTCGTTTTCTTCAGTCTCTCCAGGCAAATGTTGGAACAGTGTCCTCAGACAGACCACGACGACCTTATTTCAAATCCTTACCCTCATCATTCATGGTCATTTCCTTCTTCACTGAATGTTATATAACTTATACATTGGCACACAGGAGAAACGTTGGGATAAAATGCCAGCCAACCACTAACATTCCCTGCAAACCTGATAGATCTTATCTCAACTTATTTAAAATTCATTTTAATATTATTCTCCCATTTTCGCCTGCAATTTCCAAGTGGCCTCTTTATCTTCTGGGTTACCTAACTAAATCCTGTATGTGTCTTGTAATGAAGACGTATTTGAGGTCTCGCTCTGTCACTCTCACCAATAAGGCCTTTAGCTCTAACCATCCGTTTGATGCTGTGGTACAGATGTGATACAAGCACTTGAGTGTAGAGAGGTTATTGGGGTGATGGGCTGAAAGCCAAGAAGGCATAATGCTGTATTCCGGGTACGTGCCCCCTAATGATTAATTTGTCACCACTTAATAACCAAGGGATCTTAATCATAACATAAATGATCTATGATCTCGTAGTTTTTATAATATATAATTTTATTAACTAATGTCCGGTCTGACATCTGGAACATTTTATCACAGTTTCCGATAGCGAAAGAATTCTGTAAGAGGTTATTAAATTAAAAAGAATACAATTTTTCATCAAAGGTGTGAGATCGGCCGCTACATAAATGGCGCCCATTGTAAGGGCTCACAGATTTACGATATCTTTCATGCAGTTTTTCATTAGTCTTAATGTTAATTTGCTGTTGGTAACAAAAGTGTTGTCGAAAATTGATCAGCACAGCAGAGACCACGCAACGGATTACAGAGTTCATAGAATTCGTTAAGTGTGAACCATACGAACATGGCTTAGGGCATAATATGTCGCTCCTGATTAAATTAATTTCAGTAAGAATTTCTAGAAAGTAGATGTTTTATTGGTGCCTCGGTTATGTTGGCTCGATAAGGACCGAAATGAAATTCTTCCGACAACTTTTAGTGTAAACCCCTTATCAAATCGCATTGAAAGCCGCTGAGTAATTTCGGAGACAAAATTGAGTATGAACAGTCTTATACTAGGTACCCGTATGCTTTCAGCTTATAAATTAACTTTTTATGAAAGTAACACATCCTCGTATAAATGTAATCCAACATACATTAATATAAAACGTTTCTGAAAAAAATACTGATGCGGATACATAATGTACTATAATACATACTGAGCACTGATTTAAATATACGCAGGTCGTTGTTTTTGATGTTGAGTGTATTACTCACTTCGTTTGCATAATACCGTTTTGAAATTTTCCTTTCGTTTCATTTTCCACTGATTACACATACGAGGACGTTACTCCAAAAGGGACATTACGCAATAGTTAACCAATGATCACACGCATAATATAACGGAGTTCAAGTTACGCTTGAAGGCTTTCCTGTTCTGTAGTGCTTATTTTATTTCTTCTTTCGTTTATTTAAAGACTCTGACGATGTTTTTCCGGATTGTGACGCCGTGTCCACTCACAGGTAGATTTGAACCCTGGTATGTACCTAAGAGTCTACACGGTGTCACCACAGTCTAACTCAGTGGTATTCAACCTTTTTTGTTCGCGTACCCCCAAATATAATTTCTCTTCAACTTTGTACCCCCAAATTTGTTGGAGTATAATGTTTACGAAGGGTTAAAATGTGGTAAGCTGAGAATAAATCGTGTTTGTCAAGCTTCTACGCGAGAAAAATACAAGAGGACACGAAGAGAATCGAGTTATTAAACAGAGACATTTATCTTCATTACCAAATTCTATTATTTTTATGGGTCGAATCATATTTTCATAAAATAAAATGAGAAAGGGAAGTACGTTCTTGGGGGAAGTCTTGTGAATCACGGGGGGCGGTAGGACGAACGTGTTAAGATCATCAGCCCTAGATCATCAGATCCTCTGGCACGTTGACTGAGCCAACCTTATCAATGCTGTATGTTTGTGTATCTTTAATACATGACAGTTTTACAGTTTGCAACATAATATAGGTTTTTTACGTACTGTAATGTTAACTCAGGTCCAAATTACTTTCAACATAAAGTTTTCTGGTACAACATAGTACTAACATTGTTTCATAGAATAAACTGTATGAATTTACCCCCAAATTTGTTGGAGTATAATTCAAGTTATACATAGTATATAAGCTACATCTAAAATTAATTAAATAAATTACATTACTGATTATTCAGTGTTTATCATAAAATAATATTTTTTTTTTAAATTTCACGTACCCCCTAAGATGTCTTCGCGTACCCCAGGTTGAATACCACTGGTCCAGAGGACCATCGTCATCCTCACCGCCGTGATAACGTCAAATCCCACATTTAAGGACTTTGTTTCAACTGAATAAGTCATACAACATCGAATGAGAAATGAAACGATGATAAATGTCGAAGGAGTAACATGTCAAATGAAGTGGCCATGGCCTGTTTAAAAGTACTCCCCCCTCTTCTTACCGAAGTAATTGAGAAAAATCAAGAGAAATATCGGAATAGTCACTCTTCCGTTAGAAATATGATGGACAATGTTTATTGTTTTATTGCAAATGCCGAATGAGAATCGACGCAGATTCAAACCTGATACTCCCTGAATACGAATACATGATAACTGTTCATTCACGACTTCCGGAAATCATGCTGTATCAACTGAATACGTGATTTAGCGTGGAACGAGAAATGTTGATGAATGACCAGGATTTGTCTCGAAGGACTGGAGAACACGACGATGGAACTTTTCCAGGAAATCTGTCACAGCGGCCGGGATTCGAAGCGGATGAATACGAAGCACAGCCATCATACCACGACACGCATTTGGACGTCATTCTCCTTACTAGTTGTGGTAGGACCGTACAAATGCTGTGAGCAGTAACTGGAGGTCAGTAGAACTTGCACAAGAAGAGAACTGGTAAGACGAAGCAGAATGGCTCATTATATATGCAAGTTAAATGGAGCTTACAACACGAAACATCCAGAAATGAAATTTGAAGTAGGCCTATGGAATAATTGCAGTAAGATACTTATGAATTTTTATTGAAACTACAGAAAAAAGACTAATGAGTGTGACTGTGGCATTCAAGAATGAAATCTTGTTACACTGTTTCACGCAAAAAGAATATTAACATGATGCAATTTAAATGATTAATCATAGCTGCAATTATACACAGAAAACCTGGAATTAACAGAAAGTATCGGCAAGGAAGTGGCATGTAAGGATAAATAACAGCATATTTTAGGCATAATAATATTATATGTAAACTGAATGTGGGGGGGGGGGGGGGGGGTGGTTGATTCATTCTGAGTCGACTGTTGATAAAATGGAACGTTCCGACACGGCAGGTCGGATAAAAACGGAATATCTTATAAAGTGCCAGGATAGTACCGTAATTTAGGTCCTTCCATATCCTTTAAAATTCATAATTCACCCAAGGTTTTATTATTCGAAGTTGAGAAATCTTAGCAATGGAAGACGTTTAATAAAACTATAAGAAATAAACGCCTTATAAATGTCCGACTCA